ACTCTGGTCGGACTCTGGGTGGACTCTGGTCGGACTCTGGTCGGACTCTGGTCGGACTCTGGGTGGACTCTGGTCGGACTCTGGTCGGACTCCGGGTGGACTCTGGGTGGACTCTGGGTGGACTCTGGTCGGACTCCGGTCGGACTCTGGTCGGACTCTGGTTGGACTCTGGTTGGACTCCGGTCGGACTCCGGTTGGACTCTGGACGGACTCCGTTTGGTCTCTGGTCGGACTCTGGGTGGACTCTGGTCGGACTCTGGTCGGACTCCGTTTGGACTCTGGTCGGACTCTGGTCGGACTCTGGGTGGAGATTAAATCTGGGCTCATCTGATTGGACCGTAGAAAGTTTCAAACTGGGATGATTTCATGCTCCAGTGAAAGGCGAGAGGCTACGATGGTTTGGAAAGGAAACAGACAACAGATCAAATTAAGTCAAATCAAGTCAAATCTTACCTTTGATGAGAAATATTTAAACTTAAATGTTTTGTTTTATGCAGCTTTGCCAAATACGACGAACTAACTGTAAATTAAGCTACATTTAGGCATAATGGATATTTATTTACACTTATTTAGACATTTATTGTTCTGAAAAGAGCTACAGTGATAAATATTGTATATAATATTTATGCTATAACAGCTTATATCACTGAGGTCAATATGTGAAATATTATCCCTGAAGCTCTGCTGCTGCTTCCCATTTCACATGTTTTTCATGTTAATTTGATGCATTCAAACACTAAAAGCAACATCTTAGCAAACAGATATTTTTAGTCTGATCAGTTTACTGAGATAAAAGATGAAATTTAAACTTCTGCTACCTGAACCACATTTTCAGGGTTTCTCCTGCAGGTGTGCGATTGGTATCGATCTGATTTATCACCGATACTGATACTGATAGCGATACTTTTACTATTTAAATTTGTTATATCAACAAACGTCTGACTCTCAGGAGTTTTTGTGAATTATTTTGTTCAAATCTAGAATTCGATTTGGATAAAGTTGATGTCTACAAAATACCTGAAAGTGCCGGGTTCCTTGTCTGCACTGCAAAAATATAAAATCTTACCAAGTAATTTTGGTCTAGTTTCTAAAATATCTTCATGCACTTCAAATTAGCCAAAACTAACTAATAAATAACTTTTCAGTGAAATACAGGAGCTTGTTTTAAGTCAATAACTGCTGTTCTAGTTTTTCACTGGTAGATTATTTCACTTAAAATGACATTTTTCCCTTAAGTGGAACTTGAACTATTTCATCATTATTAATTAATTATTTACTTAAAATAAGCTTCTATGTCTTGCTGAAAAGTTACTTGTATATTTAAGTGTAATAAGATATTTGGAGTATAAACCAAACCAGAAATGCTTTTGTGTTTTTGCAGTGTGCAGCTCGCAGCAGCTGAGCTCCGCCTGTGGGCTCAATAGATTTGACACTAGAGTGCTGATGAATCTCATCAGTTTAATGTGTTTATGCTTGCTAATCCTTAGAAGCTTATTGCTGTTCAATGGAGTGCTAAAAAGTTACCTAATTTCCCCCTGGTCGCCCTGCGCCCCCGCTCTCCCTCTCTCTGGTGTTGGATGTGGATCTTGTGGAAAACACGCAGGACACGCCGCGTCTCGCTGATTTGTGTTATAGGCCGCAGAATGGGCTTTGACGGGACCACAGTACGGGCTGATATTTCTGTTTTTCCACCTTAAATTCGCCCCATCACTGTCTGATCCCCCTCTTCCCCACTAAGTGCTTCAGTCTTATCTGCGGCGCCCCCACCTCGCCTGTCGCTCCCTCTACGAATGCCTATATGACAGCTAACACCCAGTATTAATTAAAATGTCATGCCTCCGAATCAATATTGTAAAACAGTTCAAACACGACTCGTCGCCACTGCTGTGATAAGTGCTTTTGGGTGACAGGTAAGTCCAGAGAAAGAGATGCAAGAGAATGGTGTGACGGATTTATCCAGAGAGAACATGTAACATTAAAATTTATGACCCACACACACACACACACACACACACACACCCACACCCCCCCACACACACACACACACACGCCCACACACACACACACACACACACACACACACACCTCCCGGTTCACCGTGTGTTCCTTCACTGCTCACAATTGAAAATTATCCACACTGTCATGAAGTGTGCTGCACTAAACTGACAGATCCACAAGTCAGCAGCAACAGGCCAGGAGGCTCGATGCAGAAAGTCTCTGCCGTCGGCCCGAGACGCGCGGAAACTGATTAATGCTCGTTTAGGAAGCAAACGCAGCGTTCATTACAAAACTACAGGCTTTTTTCTTCTACGAACACATGCGCACAACGCTGGAGGGGCAAAAACACGATTCTGGGGGCGTTGGGACGTCACAATGCAACACGTGTATAAACTTTGGAGCAACATCTACCCAATTCCAGAAAGAGTCTAACAAATAAGTGAGGTAGGAGAATCTGATCACTCCAACTGGAAAAATGTTCCCTGATTTCAAAACTTTGAAGTGCTGCTTGTAATTCCAGTTTCCAGTGTGGAAGCAAAGTGAAGATTATTCCTGGTTACCAAACTATGACGGTGTATTGTGCCCAGCGTAGACAGAAAAAAAAGGAGTAAATTTCTGCCAAATAAAATTTACAGACAACTTTTCTGAGCTAGAAAAGTTGAAAATGCAAGAGAAAACTCAAACATTTGGGGTTGAAAAATTTGAAAAGTCAAACATTTGTTTGACAAAATCCAGGAATCTTTAGATTAATTTGAGATTAATCTAAAGATTCGTCTCTAAGTTTTTTCTCAAAAGAAAAAACTTTTGAGAAAAAGTTAGTGGCGAGAAAAACCTTAGAAATTTATGAGTTTCAAAAGTCAAAAAATTGCTAGAAAGAAAAGATCAGAAATTTCTATATTAATTTTTAAACCCATTTTTAACTTTTCAAAATCAGCAATTACCAAGCTTTTTTCTACAAATTTACTGATGTTTCAAGTCCAGCCTTTAACTTCAGAAGTTTCCATGTTTTCTCCAGAAAAATTCTGAGTTTTTCTAGAAAATGTTTTAACTTTTCAAATTAAAAAATGTTAAACGTTTTTGTAGAAAATTTCTAAGTTTTTGACAAACTCTCAACTTTTGATGTCCAAAAATTTCTAGAAGATTTTTGAGATTAATCTAAAAAATTCTGAGCTTTTTGTAGAAAATTTTAAACTTTTCAAATTCTGAAGTTTTTGACTCTTGTAGAAATTTCCTGTATTTTTGTAGCATATTTTCAACTTTTAAAAGTTTCTATACATTTTTAGATACTTTCCTAGATATATATATATTTTTTAGATGCACATTTTTCATTTTTTTATTATCAAATTCACTCCTCTTTGTTTTTTTCCCCTGTCTGCAATGGTCTTATGTATACAAAATGACGATTTTGTAAAAATAATAACTTCTTAAAGTGGGATTTTCCTCCATTGTATAAAAGTGCTGAAGTTAAAGGCTGGACTTTTCTTAAGTTTTCACATGGAGATTATGTTGCTGCAATAAAGGATGAATTTATTTTAAGCTTTGCAGTTTTCTACAATATTCCAACTATTTCAGGCGACACAATCCTTTAATTTGAGACTTTGTGAGCTGTGCAGATTCCCACACTGAGAGACAATGTTCAGACGCTCACAACACGGACAGAATGTAACAAATTCTGTCAGAGTAAATATGGTTTAATAAATGAATTAGCTTCATAAATAATGGCTGTAATGACATTTTAGGGGACAATAAGCCAAAGCGTTGTCAGGAAATAGTTGATGTATGAGTTTCATGCCTCAGTGGTTCCTCAAAATGAATAGGCTCTGGAAGATAGCAGGGGCCTGCAACCAGCCCATTTCCTCGAATTATCTACTTGTTGTCAATTTGCACAGTGGAATTACACATGCAAATTGAACTGCCTGCACAAACACCACTTGGAGATGATAAAAACAAGTTAACAAAGGCTATAGAAGGAGGATTTATTTCACCGGCTAACCCGGGTCAAGCAATACATGTATTTTACGATTGTGTGTACCCAATTTTGGTGTAATTATATCAGCAAATTATTCTTTGTAATCTTATTATTTTTCCCCCCAACCTTCTCCTTACACACATAATTAACTCCCGGCAGAAAAACGGCGGCTTTTAATCTGATTCGGGTTTCGTTTTTGTTGCAGAAACTCAAAGGAAGGTGAGAGGTGAGCAGTTTAGCGACACCATTTGGTTTAACTACTTGGTTTAAGTGCAGACAAATCCACATAACCGAAGCCAACACATTAAAAAATATATATAAATATATAAAATCACCTCTTAGCATCATCCCTCATACTGGCGAGGAAATTAAGAGTCCCCAGACCTCCACGTTTGCTATTAGATATCTCATTTACTTTGTACACACAGCGCTAATCTCCACTAATGAATTCTGCCACACCAAGCCAGATCGAGATGACTTAAAATTATTACCACTTCCACAGATATGCCTTTCCTCATTTGAGGCTCAATTTGGCTGGCTCGCAAAAACAGTCTGTCACAGTAAGATACTAATAATTAGGGTTTTAAGATGATTAGTTTATCTCTGTGCTCTTACAGTCCTGCCTCTTATCCACCGTGGCCAAAAACTTAATAAGAGGCTCTAAGTTTTAAACAGCCAACTCCAAATTACCAAGAAATGACAGAAATAATGAACTGCAGCATATTGCCAGGGAGAGAGAGGAAGATGGATGGTGGGGAAGCCGAGACATTAATTCAACCTGTGAAATAGAACACAAAGCCTGTTAATCAATAAAAAAATGATTTAAACCTGGAAATCAAATTTCTTTAGCTTTAACGTTGACTTGGTGCTTTTCGTTTACCTTCAGTCTCTGATGCGTTGTCATAAATGTAATTAAAGTGGCGATAATGCAGAGTGAGTGATACCAGTTAATGGTGGCCTATTTCTGAGGATGAGATGTATTTTACATGTTCAGGATGACATAAGCTTTATCACTCAACTTTAATATGCGCAGCAGAAATAAACCGGATAAATCTCTAAGATCATAGGAAGGTCAAGGACTTTTACGTTATTTATTTATATTTAGGCAAAAACTCAAGTTGGTATTATGAGACTGAGTATCAGGGCTAAGAGAAAAAGATTATGAGAAAAAAGTCGTAATATTGGAAGAAAAACAAAAAAGTCATAATATTGAAAGAAAAACAAGAAAAAAGTTATAATATTGAAAGAAAAACAAGAGAAAAGTCTTAATATTGGAAGAAAAACAAAAAAGTCATAATATTGCAAGAAAAACACTGCTAGAATAAAGCCATTCTAGTCGTAAAGACCTAAGTCAAAATAATGAGAATAACATCTAAATAAAGATGAAATAAGTAAAAAAAAACTCAGAAGACTGCAAGGAAAAAGGAGTAATGACACAAGAATGAAGTCATATTAGCAGAATAAAGTTGTAATAATACAAGGAAAAGGCAAAGTCATACAAAAAAAATTCATAATATTAACAGAATTGTCTTAATACATGAAAAAACCCAATGACATGAGAATAAAGTCAGAATAATACGAGTCAAGAGTAATAAAGCACACAAAAATTGTGGTAAAATCTGGTAAAATTGTGACTTAATTCTTGTTATTTCAGGAAAAAAGGAGAAGAATTACTTATAAATATCCTGAAATAGATTTGTTTTTTGAAAAGTAAGCATATTATTATTCCCATAATCTCAACATTATGTCAAATAAGCAAAGACAAAACTCACCGATAACAATATTTATATTCAGATACTGTTACTGCTTGTCCATCAAAAACAGTTTTTAATAATATTTTTAGTATGTAGATGAGCTAGCTTTAGCATCAAGTCGGATTAAAAATAAAGCACTACTTTTTCAATTGACCTTTTTATATATGTCTGAAGTTATGGGTCTTTTACCCTTTATCCTGCATTTATATGACACACAAAATACAGGCTATAATTTATGTATATTACGGTCCCAGCATTAAGATGCAACCAAAAGGGGGCCTAACGTGAATGAACGTGAAAGAGCAATTTAAGGGTAGATGCCTGTGCCAGTGCCAGGGGCTATACAAGATTTGCATGCTAATCATTCTAATAATAATGTCATGCCCAGAGCACTTTAAGCAAATTGCGAACCACTGGTCATAGAAGGAAGCTTATCTGAGCCAGAACATGACACAAATATAGGTTAACATCTGAATGACTCCTGGTAATTCACAAACCTGTTAGTCGCCTGGCTCACCTCAATTAGAAGTGGCTTTCACTCAAGTTTATTCAAGTTTTTACAACTACTGCCTTAACTCTTAAAAAATGTTTTCAGATTTTTATTTGGAGGGTTCTTATGATATGGGACATTATTACTAAAGTACTACTTTTACTTCACTTACTAGAAAGAAAAAAATGTCAGTTTGGGAATTTTTATCCTCATAAAATTATGGTGTGCAACCTAAAAGAGTGCCACAATAAAGCTCAATATTTCAAAACTATGAGCTGCCAACTGTAGGATGGCTACCTGAGCAGATAGCCTGACTAATTACCAGCAAATATCCGCTTGGTGTTATTCTAAAAAGAACAGGAAAATGAAGAATAGTAATATTCCATGCAATAAGCACTTAAAAATCACAAGTCTATTTAGCAGCTTGCTAATCGTTATTATTAAATCACAATAAATAAAGAATATTGATGACATTACTACTACAACCATATTTTTGCAACAGTAGAAACAATACGTTTTATTTTTATATTATTATATAATGTAGAATTTGGATTAGAGCCAGCACCTGGTTGTTATGCATTTTTTACTGACAGGACATGAATGACTTTTCTAGAAGAAAAGATGACAGATAAAAAAAAAACGTTCAGATCAATCGATCTACCTATTTAGCTAGATAAGTTTCTAGCCAGTTATCCAGCTATCTATGTGCACTTTAGCATTATTTATAATAGAACAGCTGAAAAAATAGTAGGGTTTTAAAAGTGAAATTTATTCCACTTTTGTAAGTTAATTAATTATTTGAATATCAATAAAAATCTAAAAGTAGTCAAAAGGACTGAACCGAAACATCCAAATACATTTTCAGTTTCATCCTCGTTCAGTCATTGGTGCGTTTCGTCAACGTCATTCGCTATCAGCCAATGAGGGCGTTCACGGCAAAACGTCACAATGTTTACCCGGAAACGAGTGCCTGTGTTAAACTGTTATGTAGTTTCAGGATTTCCCGGAGTTTTTCACTGAGTAAAGCTGAATATTTTGTATATTTTGTGTTTAAATGAGTGACTCGATATGTATAGCGGACTGTTACCCAAAGATTTAACAGAAGACGATCTCAGTCCAGACGAGGAGGAGAAGGATGAACCAGAAAACGATGTTGTCGAGAATCTTTCTGCTGGAAATTTAAGCCATGTTGCTGAAAACACAGGCTTTCCGGATGATGGTGAATCCACACAGACTGGGAACGAAGTCGACGATGATTCCAGGACATGCAGCATGCCTGGAATATCCGAGGAGATGTGGCAGGTAGGTCTGAACTCCTGTTTTTATTGAAGCTGCTGTGAATTCACTTTATTTGTGTGTGTGCTGCAGAAATTTCAGGTGCTCCGGAAAAAGAAAGATGAAATTAAGACAACAAAAATCCACGAAAGAAGAAAAAGAAGACGCAAAAAAGGTAAATAAACTCCATGATATCCTCAGCAAATTTAAAAACGACTTTATTAATTACCTTATTTTGTAATTAACAGAAAGAAAATGCGAGGAACCTACAGAGGACAGGTAAAAATGTGCACCGTACCTGTTAAAGAATGTTATGTAGGCTGCAAATGAGTACTTTTTAATAAACTCTGCTTTAATTGTCAAACATAGAGTGGATATAGAATATTTTATGTCCTTTTTTGTTAAAATGTCAGAGTTTTGTGATATAAAATCATTAGATCTTGACAAAATATTTACTTCATTCTGAAGTTTGAACTGAAACAGTGAAGTTTGTAAGAGGGAAATACTTAATTGAAGCATCGTTAGCTTCAGTTTCATCGGTTAGCATCATAACATTTCTTTCACTTAACCTTCTCCAAATCTATCAGATTGTGAGTCTCTTCTCATCCTAAACCGTTTTGAGAATATCCCCACAGATATTCGAAGCAGATTTTGTTGACAGCGCTTGCTGGGCCGATCCAAAACGTCCATTTTTCTTTGAGGTCTTTCATTTGATCTGGATGTCTGAATCAGTTTTCTAGCAGACATATGAAAGGTCTGGGGCAAAACTTACTGATATTAACAGCTGTTTATGGTATCATTTTAACTAAAATCCCAGTTATATCTGCAACTACAGTGTGTCTTCAGTCAGCGGCTTCTTCAGGAAGACGGACTTCTACTGGAGACTCTTCCTGCCCACAACTAATCCTGTCCTAATAAGCAATGAATCAGTAATTTCCCTTCTGATGATTAATATTTCATCAGAAGGGATGAAATTTTCTTTACAGAGACTTTGTAATCCATTTTATTTATGGTTTCAGTTGTGTGTATTCTTTAATTCCTTTTTTAATTATTGTTTTGGTTGTTGTTTTATTTTGCTTATTTAAAATGTCGTCCAGTTTAAGTGTTAAATGTTTTCTACAAAATTAAAGTTCATTAGTTTTCCAGACAGTGAACTTATGTTGTTATGTCATTATATTAGTTGAACATGATTTGTAAATAATAAATAAATAATAGTTACTGGGACAATTTATCGTCCAGTAAAATTTGTTACAGGCCCGCCCACAACGATCAGCATCTACAACAACGTTTTGAAGAAACTTTGATAATATGAGTTGGAACAACATTTAATTTCTTTTTGGTATGAATAAAGTATCTTTTTAAATTGAATTGATTTGAACAAAAGTAATCCCACAGCCCAATCCTTCCACCACCAACATCCCCTGTAAGTTTGGTATTGTTTCAGTGATACTTGTCATTATGCTAATCTCTGGGATCTGCCAGTCCATTTAGAGAGACAATAAGATGGTATCAAAAACAGATCCTTGAGGGACTCCACATGTAATCTTTCTTCGCTCAAATTTATATTTAGCAAAGTTTTAAAGTATTCCTTTACCACCCTGCTGAATCTAAATAAATCCTGAGTATTATCTTGTTTTGTCTTTGGCTAATGTAATAATTATCTAAATGTCTTGAATGTTATGAAAATGCTGGAAAAAGTGAGTCTGGAAAAGTATGAAATTGGCCTGGAACACATGGCTAAAAAATGTATCATGATATAAGAGTTTCATATCAGTCGATATTGATGATTACTGATTAGTTTTATGTTTTAAACATCTGAAATACGTCCAAACTGGAGACGTGACCTGTCCTGTTTTATCCAGTTTTCACTCCAAAGCGTCGTTTTTCATTTTTAAGCAGTTTTGAGACACAGTGGGGAAACCTGAAACTGCTGCTGTGGTAGTTACTCAACAGGTTGTTGCTAGGTAACCAAAGAGTGAGTGAGTTGCTAGGTAACCAAAGAGTGAGTGAGTGAGTTACGTTATTCCTACCACTTTGAGGTTCAGCGGTTCTGTTAATATTCTATATATTGAATATATTATCTACCATATATTGATTTTTGATGTCAGGCCTTAGTATGACATTTTGTATTTATAAAATCTAGCTTGTGATATATTTCTGTGTCCTTGTTGGTAATTCATTTGAGACGCCAGAAGCGCCAAATATGTTTTGTTTTCTGGATCAAATAATGTCCTAGTAATTCCTTCATGACAAAATGCTGTTCTCATTCACTGCAGCCAAACCAGGAAGGTTTATTTTAAATGATCCAACCTGCAGTTTGCCCTGCTGTGCTGTTTGTCCACATATACTTAAAGCTAACTGGATGTTTTGTTGTTGTCAGGCAGCGACAGGACGGCCGGGAGAAGCACTGGAAGGAGCTGAAGCAGTATTTCGGTGTGAACGATCGATTTCAACCCCCTGCCTGCTCCAAGCCGCCTCCGAAGGTAACGAAGCCTCCCAACCTGTCCTCTGAGCTTTAATTCTGTCTCTATAGCTGCTGTTAGTAACACCTTTACATCCTTTGTGTCTCTGTGCCGCTGTGTCTTCTGATTGTCTCGTGCGATTTGACGTGTGGATCCTTTGTAATGACTCAACCTGACACAGAGAAGAATATTAGGGATTATGTTCTGTGACGTTATGTGATAAGATTAGCCTTTCTGTTGCGCTTCAGATGAAAGTGTGATTTTTTTTTTCTCTAGAGAAGAAGAAGTCTGAATGTTAGCAGACAAAAGGAGTAGCTGTAACTGAAAATAATTTATCCAACTGTGGTTACTTCATCTTTCTAATATTGCAACTTTATTCTGGTAATATTGTGAGTTTATTCACATATCATTACAACTTTTCTCTCATATTATTACGACTTTACTCTCAAGTTATGACTTTTTATTGTACGACTTTACTCTCTTTACATTTTTATTCTTTGAAGATAAGTTTATTCTGGTGTCGTTACATAACTTTTTTGTCATAATGCAATTTGATTCTCAAAATATTCTGTCTTTTTGTCGCATGATTTTATTCTGGTATTTTTATGACTTTATTCTCACATTATTTTGACCTTTTTCCTCGTATTATTACGACTTCCCATATTATTTTGACTTACTTTATTCTTGTAACATTTCTACACTTTGTGTTGTGTATTAACCAGGTCAAAGTGTTGCCTCGTTGTAACATGGGAGTTGATTCAGGACTTAGAAAATCGGAAAAGTTAACTCACTCTTTGGTTGCCTAGCAACAACCTGCTGGGTAAGAAGCAGTTTCAAATCCCACCCCCCCCAAACTTTGGTTGCCTAGCAACAGCTTGTTGAGTAACTGGCACAGCAGCAGTTTAATGTTTCACTTCTGTCTCATGACTGCTTTAAAATAAATGGCAACGTGAGAGAAAATTAAAGAGGAAAGGTCACATAAATAATTTGGAAGTATTTAAAACAATAAAAATAGTTAATAATCATTGATAACGACTGATGTGAAACACTAATATCGAGAAACGTTTTTCAGCCCTAGTCTCTCATATAAATATCAGTCGATCACGATCAACCAGGATGAAGGAAATATCAAACAGTTTAACGGTTTACCTCTAATATTTTGCCAGGCTCTGTAGAAATGTCACGATTCATCCAATAGCTAATCTCATTTTCAGCACTTAGCTCTAATAATACAAGAATAAAGACATAATAATACAGTCATAAAAATACAAGAATAGTCATAATATGAGAAAAATTTGAAATGACACAAGACTACTCTTGATGATAATACGAGAGTAACATTGTAATATTATGAGGAAAAATCTGTAAAAACACAAGAAAGCTGTAAACATATGAGAATAAAATTGAGTAGCTTGAGCTAAATCTGGCACAAAGCATCTTTTATTAATGTTTTTTGTACATTGTCCTCGTTTTAACTATTTTTACTGCAAAGTGAAATAGTAGTTAGTAGTAAATAAAATATTACTACTAACTGGTTTTGAGCGACTTTAATGTGGAAATATTAATATTTACGACTGCGTTCTGGCGTATTTCATTTACTTTGATGAAGATTTGGGCTCCTGGGGCCTGTCAGCGGCTCTGTGATGGAAATATGTAATTAAAGAATCACATTTATGATTGGTAATCTCTGTAGCATTTCCAAGATTTCCTCACTAATATCCAATCAAAGAGGTTTTCATTTGTGAGGCGAAATCTACATATTTGTAGTAATGGCGATCATATTAAAAATACAGCCTTGGGGGAAATTTTCAAGTTACTTTGATTTTTTCTTCTTCTTCTCTCGCTCTCTTTCTGCTCGTATTTCAAATAAAAAAGAAAAAAAATCTGAATTTTTATCCGCAGTCCGGCCTGGAAAAGAGCATGGAGGAGGCCGTCGCTGAAGGGGACATTGCAAAGGCGGAGGAGATGAGCGACAGACTCGCCAGTCGAGAGGTACGTTCAGCAGATAGATAAGCCATCTTTGGGCTGCGCCCGCTGTGACAAATCAAGCTAATGGATCCGTGGCCATTTTCTGCTGCAAAGACAGAGAGGAACAAAAACACACGCAGACATCCGCCGCTCAGTCCCGCAGCCCTTTTCCTATTGAGTTAATGGAAAGCCCTCCCCTTAGTTTTGAAGTGCTGCAGTGTCTAAAGGACTTTTGGCTCTGCTTTTTAATGAACGGCTGCATTGCTTTCAAGCCAACTGTTAAATCATTCTGCAGGTAAGAGTTTCATACCTTTGAAGTGTGCGTGTCCCTAAATGCACTGCCTGAAGTTTTACTGGGGCTGGCGTCGGAGATCGAGTGGCTTGGAAGTAATTTAGCATAAAATGTAACGCACACACACACACACACACACACACACACCCCCCCACACACACACACACACACACACACACACACACACACACACACACATGCATATAATTTTGGTTTAAAAGACAAAGCCATACAGTGCTGAGCTGCAACAAACTTCAACTTCTTTGTTTTATGTTTTGTGTTGCTTGCAGCATCACATGAGCTTCAGTCAATAAAAAAACTAAATGTTGGCTCTGGTTTTATTGTTGAGCCAGAATTTCAGCTAAATCATTTTAATAATAACCAAAATTTTGCCTTCATGAAAATGTAAGAATATACTTCATATTTTCACCCTGTTTACTGCAAAAACACAAAATATTACCAAGTAATTTTGGTCTAGTTTCTAGAGAAAATATCTTAGCACACTTGAAATAAGGCAAACTAACTTAAAAGAAACTTCTTAGCAAGATATAGGAGCTTGTTTTAAGTAAAAATGTTCTTAATATTGATTAAAAGGTTCTTGATAAATTAACTTATAAGATGGGAAAATGTCTTGTTACAAGTAAAATAATCTGCCAATGGAACTGGCACTTTTTCATCAATATTAAGAGATTATTTGCTTAAAACAAGCCTCTAAATATTGTTGAAAAGTTACTGCAAGTTTGCACTAGAAATTGGGCCAAAATACTTGGTAAGATTTAGTGTTTTTTCAGTGTTTTTTCACTTTAAAGTTTATTGAATTTAGACGTAAACTTTACTTAAACAACTAAGTAGGCAAACATCTTGGAAAAAGCTTCTTTTTTTGTCTTGGTGATCATTGAGATGTTTTGTGGGAAACGTGAAAAGACTGACCTAAATTTGCTCAGCAGATGTTTTCCCCAATATATCTTTCTTTTTGTTGAATCGTGACCTCCGACCCAGACCGAGGTTTGTAGGTGGACCAGAGTTTGATTAGCATTCACACCTCCCGTCAAAAAGTGGACTTTCCAGTCAAACTGATTAAAGCTGACTAAGCATGGCTGGTGGGAAAGAACCTTCAGTTTTGTTTCTGTAGATCAGGATTTGATGTTTTTGGAGATCTCTTAGCCTACTTCGTGTTGTCAGGCTGGTAATATGCTGGGGCTGTTTTACTGTTTCAGGACCTGGAAGACTTTCAGTAATTATCTGCAACTCCATTTCTTGGTCTACATTCGGTTAATGTTGAAAAAACTATTTTAAACTGTGGTGTAAATTAAAATCACTCATGAATAAGCTTGTTCATGCGATACGTCATTACATCAACGGATGTTAACGGTTACACGACAAGCCAGTTTTACCTGGAAACGTCTGCATGTGGGGCGTTTTGGGGACGTTGTAGTTTTTCAGAGGAGCCATGGTTTCAACGCGTTAAAGCGACAAACGGCTTTTAATGAACGGTGATGCTGTGAGAGATCTGCTGGAGCCAGAAAAACAACAAACCATCGTCTCCCACCTACTTCCTGTTGTCGTCTTTGTCGTTCCTGCCAGTAGTAACATCCAGTTGTTGATCATGTGACTCATGTGAGGTGATAAAAAATGTTTCCAATGTACTTTAGTGAAAGACATCTATTTTAATAAAAAAAAAAAAAACCCCGGGCCAAAAAGTTTTTATTGAAAACTTGAGTTTTTTCTAAATTGCCATGTTTCCATTAAGCAAATTCATTTTTGTAATTTCAATTTGCGTAATTTTATGGCTAAAGGAAACACATTCATCTCTGATTTCTGCCCCAACGTTTACTCCAGTCGTGTTAGAGTCGGGCAGCGTAAAGACCAAATAAAGCTTTGAAGAGGCCTAGTCAAAACCTGGACTTAAATCTGAGTAAGATTCATGCTTGAAAACAAACCTGTGTGGCAAGTTATCTTCATCAGATATTAAAATTCATTTAATGATCTCAAACATTAACATGTGACCAAAGAAAGAAAAGCAAAAAGCAGGGAAGCATTTTAGATATTTTGGATCCCAGGGGTGTACTTTCTTTTTCCTGAACCGGACTCAGAGCATTAAGCAGCAGCTCTTCCATCGTTTGGACCGGTGTTACCAACTCGCTCCAGGTTTAATGGGCATCGCTCCGTTTTTAACCAGCAGCAGATTGCTGCAGTTTAAAGGAAAGCTCTGCTGAGTGGCACCTGCGCTCTTCCCTCCTGAAAGCCTCTTACTTCGCTGCCGGGTCGGTTTTAGCCTGAGCCGAGGTTCTCCGCTCCCCGGCGCCCGGCGCCAGAACCGTGATGGGGCCTGACAGCAGTTTGGCAGCAGACACCCTTTGCTGAGCACTGATAACTTCATTTCAGGGGAAATTGACCGTATTGGAGTCACCAAAACCAAAAGTGATGCAAAGTTTTGCATGTTTACTTTTACAGTCAGTAGTTATGAAAATGTTTATTACAGGAATATACAAAGGCCAAAAAACCAACATAAATCAAGCAAATGAAGTACAACGATTTAAATTTTTATAAATAGATAATTATTGCAGATCCAAAAGTTGAAGGCGATTTTTACAGCAGTATCTTAGGGCTGTTGGAGACAAAATAAATAAAAGCTGTAAATTTCTAGCGGAAATTTAAAGATTAATTTCAGAAATTTTTCTAAGAAATTTTCAAATATTTGACTTATAGAATTCTTTTAAAAGTTAAACATTTTAACTTTTGAAACTCAAAATTTCTAAAGTTATTTTCTAGAAAATTTCTGAAATTACTCAACATTATTGTTTCTTCTCACAAAGTTTTGACTTTTCAACTCAAAAATGTTCAGCTTCTTTCTGGAAAATTTCTGAGATTAATCTCAAAGTTTCTGACTTTTGGAGCTCTAAAATTTCCAAGTTTTTTTTTCAAGAAAATGTCTTAGATTAATCTCAAATTTTCAGAGTTTCGTTCACAAATTTTTCAGAAATTTCAAAGTTAATATCTAGAAATCTTATGAAATTAGTCCCAAAATTTTAGATTTTCAAATTTCTGACATTCAGAAATGTTCTTGCTTTATGCAGAAAATTTCCTAGATTAATCTCAAAATTAGATTATGCATGTTTGCTGTTTTTAAAGAAAAGCGTCAAATTTCCAGTTCCTTTTGGGCTTGATTGAACAAATTTATTTTCAGTAATACATTTTGAAGTTAATCAACTTCAGTAAAGTAAAAGTCTTTACATTTTCAATTATAAGGAAATTTTAGAGGTAATAATTTTGCCCTTCTTAAAAATGTTAATCCGTGTCATGGGATTACATTCGTATCATTTTTGAATTGCAGTTCAGGGCCTCACAAAAGCAGTGGAAGGGCTACAAATGGCCCTTGCGCCACATCTTGGACACCCCTGGTTTATAAAGGTCACTGGATAGATGATCTCGACTTCAGGTTCAAACTGAGGGCTTCTTATAACGCGCAGAGGCTCAGATGACGTTTAATTTACAACATTATTCTGTCAGGTTTTTTACTCTGAGAACAAGAAATGGTTTTCTTTAAAATAAAAAAATGTAAAATCTTTCCGACAGCTGTGAAGAAGTAAAGAGGCCCGTTTGTCCCTTTCAGGCATCGCTTTGTAAGGGAAACGCTGGGCGACAATGTTCCAGCGTATTTACATCCTCAATCTAACGGATTCGCTCTTATCTCCTCAAAGCAAAGGGAGAGCCGCCTGTCAGAATCTCACATTTACAGAAAGGAAACTGTTTGTTTCTGTTGTTTAGAGCTCCAGCAAATCGAATAATCACTTCCATTTGCTCCACTTTTCTGTTTTTCTATCCTAGCATGAAAATGATTTGATTGGGAGAAAATAGAACCTGTTGTGAATGCTCCAAACTAATTCTGAGATATGTGCGTCTCCGGCCGTCTTTGATGCGTCATTATTGGGATTCGAGGTGTTTTTTTATTGTCGTTTCAGCTTTTAAAGCTTCTTTGTTTTTGGATTAATTCCTGCGTGTTAAAAGTGAAAGTATTAACAGCTCCAAAGATGCAACAACCTCCATTTTTAAGGTAAATAAATAATAACAAAAACATTTTAAACAAAGCTTTAGCTAAGCTATTTATGGCGTTTCAATCTGGAAATCAGGTTTTTCTTTTTCTACTTACTGGTTTCAGAGAAATGCAGCTTTTTCCATTCTAAGCAAAACTTTGTACTTTATTAATCAGTTTTAGTCATTTTTGCTGAACTTTTTCAGGTATGACACTTTTTCAGGTATAAAACGGAGACGTTTAATATCGACTACAAGTCAGTTTTACTGACTGTTTGAAGGAATGCAATCTTCAACTGGTTAAGACTATAGTTTTATTATTAACAAGAGTTAAATATACAGCATTAACACAAATATTACCTCCTACTAAAGGGCATTTATTGTTTAGAAAACGTTCGATTTATGGTGACAATAAATTTTAGTTAATATAATCTGAAAACCCTCAAAATGTATCTGTCAGATATGTGCATTTTGCTAATTTCTCACCTTTTATTCAGCAAAGAACATCCATAAATATAAATAAAAATAAACTCAGTTGCTATGATAGGTGTCTTAAATAAGTCTGTTTGTCACCATTTGTCATTACATTGGTCCCCCAAATGTTCGTGGTTCGGTATTCACAGATTTTTCTGAAAATTAAGATGCAGTGCTACTGGATATGTGATTGGTTGGTGTTGGCAAACCAGCCAATCCAGCAGCTGCATTCCATTTTGCTTGTTGCTGATTGGCTGAATCCCTAAGAGCAGAGATAAGGAAGGCTGTAGCTGTTAGCTTCTGCGTTAGCGCCAAGACAGTTTTTACATGTTTGACCAAAATAATCAAACTATCGTTTTCGTCACTTTCATATTGTAAATACACAAAATGTTACCAAGTATTTTTTATCCATTTCCTAGTAAAAATATCTTAGTAAAGTTAAAATAAGACAAAACTAACTAATAAGTAACTTTTAAGCAAGATACATAGGAGCTTGATTTAAGTGAATAATTCCTTAATATTGAAGAAAAAGTTCTGGTTCCAGTTGGAAATTATTTCACTTCTAATTTGGAAAAAATGTTTTGTTTTAAGAGGAACAATCTGCCAATAAAACAAT